CTCTAAATATTTACACTAGTCATCCCTTTGAGGCACTGTGATTGCCCTGAGACTCCCTCTGAGTACCCTTCTCTAACTCTACAGGCACTTCTCCAGGTGATTCATCCCTTTGTTAAAGAGGTAGCTTTCCCTTTGGCTGCATGCTTTTGGTGATATAAGACTAAATGACAGAATCTTAGAGATTTTCACTGCATCAGTAAGGTGGCCGCAGTCTGACCAGTCACTACATTTCCTTTGGTCTTGGTAATGGACAGCAGAAGAAAATCACGAGACAGGGACATCTGCTCTCATCAGGTCAATCCACAGTTGAGATGCTGACAATAGGGGAACTGACCCAGTCTTTTTTGTTTTTCTTCTAGATGGGACCTGACCCCTCCAGTCTCCCCACCTCAGCACTCAAGCAGTCTCTGCTGGTCTGGCTGAAAGACTAAAAGGCAGGATCCTAGAGGCTCTCACTGTGTTGGTAGGGTGGCTGCAGTCTGACCAGTCACTACATTTCTTTTTGGTCCTGGACACAGACAAAGAAGTAAATCATAAGACAGGGACACCTGTTCTCTTCATGTCAATCCCCAGTCAGGACACTGACAAGAGGGAACTGACCCAGTCTTTTTTGTTATGAGAACTGCCCCTTTCAGTCTTCCAGCTTCAATACCCAAGCAGTCTCTGCTAGCCTGTAAAAAAACAAAAAGAACCCTCATCTTTCTTTATACTGACACCTGGCCCCAATATCCCTTCGGTGACCAAGAGAAGTGGCCTTCAGAGGGCTCCTTAAATTACAATACCATACTACAATTAGACCTTTTCTGTAAAAGGAAGGAAAAGTGGACTAAGGTCCCCTATGTACAACTTTTCTTTTATCTCCAGGACCACCCAGAATAGCTCCAAAGTTATCTAGATAATCAGACCCTGGCCATTCTTTGCAAGCCACAGGATTAACATGAGGAAGGAGCACCAAAAATTCCCCTTACCAGTGACAAGCCCCACCCCTACTGCTTCCTCTACTTCTCCACCCTCTGCCCCACCTTCTGAGCCACCCCAATATTTGGGACCTCCTAATGGATGTTTCCAACAGGCAGTGGGAGGAAGAAGGCAAGTCTATGTCCCCTTCCAACTTATCAGATCTAAGGGAGATTAAAAAGGATCCGGGTTGCTATACTAACACTCCAGAACAATGTATCCAGGCTTTTATTTCTGTGATCCAAACCTTTAAATTGGCACGGAAGGATATCATGCTTCTCCTAGAGCAGACCCTTTCCTCATAAGAAAAGCAATGGGTCCTGGCCCAGGTCACTCATGTTGGAGACAATTTCCATCTACAACAAACTCCAATACCCATGGCACCTGGAAATGAGGAAATGAATATTTACGATGCCACTTCATCCATCTTATAGTGGAAGGGCTAAAAAGAACCAAAGTTAAACCTCTAAATTATCCCCAGGTGACTGTAGTACAACAAGGCCCTGATTTAAAAAAAAAAAAACCCTTACCATCCTACAGCATTTTAAGGATGCTATCCTAAAGCATACCACAGTGGACCCAGAGTCATGGGTGGGAGAGGTTCTCCTCAAGGATAAATTTTCAACTCAGTCAGCCCCAGATATCCATAGAAAACTCCAAAAGTCTGTGGCTGGAGGGGAAAAGTCATTGGACCACCTAATGCAACTAGCCACGTCTGTATACTACAACCAGGATCTCACTACAAGGAGAAAAAAAGGATAAAAAAATCATGACCTAATCACAGCTCTCAGGGAGTGCCCTGCCTCCCAGGGACCTATATCCCAAGCTTGCTACCACTGTGGCTAGGAGGGGAACTTCTACAGAGAATGCCCCAAAAGAGGACAGCCTGGGAGACAGCCCCAGCCCCACTGAGACCTTGACCCCTCTGCAAAGGTAACCACTCCATCTCCAGGTGAAAGGCAGGGTACCACCTCCTATGGATTGATGGGTTCTGTGACCTCCTGTCCAGGCTCCACTTCTAACATCAATGTTGAGAAGCCTTGGGTAACCATGATGGTAGAGAAGCAAAAAGTCATCTTCCTCTTAGACAGTAGAGCTTGTTTCTGTCTTACCATTCTCTCCCAGTCCCCAGTCCAATAACAAGGCTATCATTTAGCACATATCTGGCCAGCCCCTAGAGTTCTATTTTCCTCTGCCTCTGGCCTGCTCTTGGGGAGACCTCCACTTCTGTCTTTTCTCATAGTCCCTAAGACTCCAGTGCCCCTGCTGGGATAGGATTTACTATCTGAAATAAAGGCTCAAATTCTACTCTCCCGTCAGGGGACTATCTCTGTTACGCCTTCTTCAGGAACAAGTAGATCCCACTTGGTCTGATGGAATGACTGTAGGGTGAACAAAAATGGCCCTTCTGATTCAAATAAGACTTAAAGATCCCTCACAGTTCCATATCAAAACCAGTATCCTCTAAAGCCTGAGAGACAACTAGGCCTCTTACCTATCTTAAATTCATTTTTTTAAAAAAGGCTACTAATCAATTGCTCCAGCTCCTACAATCCTCCTATTCTTGCTGTCTGAAAAGGACCAAATAAACGGAGACTTGTTCAAGATCTCTGGCTCATTAATAAAAAGTCATCCCCCTTCCACCCAATTGTTCCCAATCCTTATACTCTATTGGCTCAAATACCCTCAAAAAGCCCAATATTACTCTGCACTAGACTTAAAGGACACTTTCTTTTATATTCCTCTACATCCTCACAGCCTCTGTTTGCCTTTAAAAACCCCACAAATCCCTTATAACAGTGCGCTAGCCAATTCGTGGTCCTTCTGGAACAACATATGGAGCTGGGCTCCTTAGGCACTACTTCTGGCTGGCCCCCTTTTTATGCTCCTACTAATATTCCTATTTGGGCCTTATATAATAAATGCTCTCTCCAAATTCATATCTCAACAGGTCCAAAGGATCTAATTCCAGCTCTTAGTCAAGGAATACTCACTTCTGTCTATGTATGAGCCCTCCATCCAGTTCTATCGGGTGCCTCTGGAGACTACACAGGTCAACCCCTGAGACAAGTACCACCACACTTACCCCCACCCGCACCCCATTGTCAGCAAGAGTCAGCTAGATGAGTCATCACCCATCTTCCCAACAGTGGTTGGGTACTTGTCTCAGAGGGGGTCTTGTTGGGTCTGGTAAACTAAAGGACAGATGAGTGAGTCAGTATACCATACCCCCTTGAGAGTGCTATGAGCCCTGCACCCTGAGGAATGAGATACATGGTCTAATAAATCTGCCATTGGGCTGATAAAGAGAATGCTCTCAATGTTGTTTACCCCCATAAGGTGCAAACAGACCATGCACAGGACCTGCTGCAGCTTCTATGCCTCTGCCATGGAATCACATTGCTGGTGGTTAACTGAGTTAATGTGGCTTCTGCACTGTGGATCAATGTTGTAAGTGGTCACCATCATGGTCTGCATGGGTCCTGTGTCATAGAAGGTCGATTTGAGAAAGGCTAGAATTAGGGAAAGTTTGGGACTGAGAGTCTTTTCTGGCACACCCTCCTACTTCCATTATTACCCTCCTCTTAGCTTAACCTACTCTTAATTCTTGTCCTTGGTTGTTCAGTTGTCTGTTTATTGGTCAGTAGGATTTTTGCTTTGGTATTACACCTGTACATGCATTGTGCTTACGTCATGTAAACACCCCCACTTCACGCACTGCATTTTCTTACCCTTTTCCCCCTATCCTGAGTTGTTTACCAGGATATTTTCAGCACATTTCCATGCATCTTGTTCCTATACAGATGTGATATACTTCATTATTATTCTTCATATTTCATTCCTTCTTTTCTTCCTCCTTTAGTCTCCTCTACCAGTCCCACTTTTGGATATAATCTCTGTATATATTTCTACCAATATAGATTTTTAATGAACATGAAAGAATGAATAAATGAATGGCATTAGGAGAACAAGAAAATATCTTCCAAACACAAACCTTACTATTTGAAGGAATTAGTTTATGAAATAAGCCACTGAATGAATAAGTCGTTTCCAAGCACAAACAGGATTCTGTCTTACTGAAGATTTACCAGCATTGAATACAAAACACATGATTGTGTTTCTGCTACTCAACCAATATTAATATTATATGCACATAACCAGAGTTGATGCTAATTATGTGGTCAAAACCCATAAATTAAACTAATTATCTGTTCCTCTCACAAACTGGTAGTTTTTCACTCTACTAAAATACAGGCAGGTGATAAAGTAAGATATAATAAAGACACCATTCTCTTAGAGTGATATACAATTAAAAGAACATCATCAGCCAAGATTTGGCAGTCCTGTGCATTAAAATGTAAATATTTCATGATATATATTTTAAAGCTCTAAGTTAATGTATCTATTTCTAATGTAACATAGATTATAATTTTGTTAAATAAAAAATGATCCACAATCAAGAATCTGAAACTGACAACATAAATAGGATAATTGGAATACAGTATCTTCACGATTCTGAGAAATATTGTGGAAACTATTTGTAAATTAAGTCTGTCTGAAACAGTTACTGTGTCTCATGTCAAATCTATACCTTTCATATCTTATCTGAAATTTTAGACACTTATTCTAGATTAGGAAGTTATTTTTAGTGTATAAAATTGTGCAGCTTTATTTTAGTAACTATGACTTAGATGCATAAATATGTACATAAATATTACATATCATAGAATTCTTATTTTATGCTATCAAAAAGGTTGTTTGATGCAAAATTATTAATTATTATTAATTATTGTCATATTTCCTATATCATATTGATATAATTCAGGATACAAATATACTGATATATTGAATATATTGAAAATATCCTGGATGTATTAATATATTGGTTGAAAAGGTTTAGCTATGCTTATTCCAAACTTGCTTTTGTTAAATTAACAATGCTGCATACAATTGAAAGACTCTGGGAAAGTACAAATCTATACAATGCAAGAGTTATATGAACTGACTTTCTTTAAAATATGCAAGGTGAACCCTGATATGTTTTAGGGACTCAAGGTTTCCACATCTTTGGACCTACACCTCAGCCACCACAGCACCAAAAGAGAGGCCTGTCTCAGCTTGCTGTTTCTGAGAATCAGGATAAATGAGTGGCATGAAGGAAAAGCAATTCCAAAACCCTGGCAAAACAAGATGATCAGATTTTTCTCCTGCAACTCAAAGGTCCACAATTGTACAACAAGAGTAATAAAGAAAACGGTGTACAGTAGGAGGAAGGCGATCACAGTCTGCAAGGCTTTTATGTGTGCTATGGTGCTGGCATCTCTAGATCCTTGGGCATTTTGCTGCATCTTTTTCAGATGTTTCCACATGGAGAAGACTAGCAGGAGAAAAGTTGTCAGGAACACAGTAAAGGGTATGAAATAGAATGCACTGTAGATAAATACTTGAAATCTGGAAAACTGTGCAGAATTTCTCAGGCTAGAATGGTAAGATAAGTTTGTTTTGCATCCCTCAATCTTGACAGCAATATTTGTGCTCACCAGAACAATATTTAATAGCAAGAAGACCAGAGACATCAGCAATACCACTAAAACAACTTTTTTAACTCTCCACTTTAGGTAAAGAAAAGTAGAGTTGGAAAAATTGGCTATCTTGAGAAAATAAAAGATGCTGAGGCTTGTAGCAAGCCAGAGGCTGAAATGATTGGTCACCATCCAGGGAAACTTAATTATTCTAAACAATTCTGCAGGCATCAATAAACCTGGGAAAAGCACAAACAGAAATAGACTTATCACCACTGACCAGAGAAGACAAATTCTGGAGATGACCAAAGCAGTGAGGATTTGATGAAGACATATTTCTTCTCTTGACCCAGTCCATGCAGTTCACCAGTACTATGAATCCATTTCCTAAATTTCCAATTATGAATTCCACACTTAAAATAAATGTAAATGCACTCTGTAGGACACCACCCATTGTCTGTAAGAGAATGTTCCAACCTGTGAAGATATTTTAATGCACTAATCTGAAATGCTATGTATAATTGATTCTTAAAACTCTCCTGTCAAAATCTCACAAATGCAATGTCCAATCAGAAGAGATCAAGATTTTTCTAATGGCAGTCTGCATGGATTTCTTCATGAAAATCTTCATCATTTCCCAAACAACCCAGCTGAGTTTCTTCCAGACACTGCCTGCCTCACTCTCAGTAGCCTGAAGTCTTCTGTAATAGAGAAAAAAATGAACACAGATTTCTCAAGTGCTAGCATATAAATCATGATATATTGATATTCATTTTAATCTTTTTCCTTATCTACATATTTTAATCTGGCAGTTTGAATTCTGAACAAGCACCATTACAAAATTTAAATGTATATGGAAAGCAGTAAGGATCTAATATTCTATATGGTAATTAGTAAGCACTGAGGGTCAGTGCTTCAAAATTGAATGCCTCAAAATTAGGTCTGTAGCTGGGCTGCACGTGGAAGACTGAGGCACAATGATTGTGAGTTTGAGGTCAGCCTGAGCTACATAGTGAGCTCATAACAGGTTACACTATATCCTTCCAAAATTAGGTCTGTACAGGGACCTATGTATGATTTGTCCAATATTCTTCATACAAAGTATCAGAATTTCCATATAATCAGATATACTTGTTACTAGAATGTTTGGTAGAGAATCGCATTTATTATTTTACTTTTATAAGGCTATGCATAGTACCCTACATTCAAATATGTTCATAAAACACACATATTTGAAGCCCAATCCTGTTCTCAAACCTATCCAATAATTCAGGTTTTTCACTGATTCAACACTAATAATACTTAGTAATGTGATAGTTATCAAGACATTGCTAAAAATGTTTCCAGCTTAACATTCAAAACAAATGTGAAAACATGGTAAATTTAGGACTATTTTTTCCTTTGCACCTGAAAAGTGGTGAAAAACTATCCCTGGTCCCACAAGCAGTCACTGAGGTGAATGTGTTCCTCCACTCAGCGAGAATCCTCCTCACTCTGTCTCTCTCTTGCCCAGTAAGGTCTGAGTATTCCATTAAATCAAACACCTTCAGATTTTATCCACCTCCCTTCAATTCCTACCAACATCTGTTCTGTGATTTGCATTGCAGGTACCAAGGCAGATGAAGGATGTTATTTTTCCTGAACAAAATAGGGAAAGACAGCATGACAGAATCATTCTTCAATAGTTAATATGAATCAAACAATCACATAACAACTACTGAAGAGAGCAGAAAACATGCATCATAAATTCTAGGCATTGCAAAGAAAGACATGGAGGTATTTCAGTATGAAAGACTGACCCCACCCATAGTCTCCTGCAACAAGACTAAAAAAAAAAAAAAGAAACTGGTGTAAGTTGAAAACACCCACAAATGTCCTACAGTTAGGTGATAGACATAATGAGAAGATAAATTAGACCACAATGCGAAAAATTTAAGAACTACTAAAATAGAAGCTCACACATACCATCAGTGTGGAGAAAGGAAGGTCTTCCTGTCTTGGCTCCTTCCATATAACAAATAAAAGCTCCAGAGACATGGCAAAGAGAAATACAAATAAGCACAGAGTGGGACTGTATAGAGTGAGTGCTGAAAAAAAGAACTGGGATCCCCTGCAAGGACTGCCCTCTCCCGCCCCACAACACTGCACTCCAGATTGGAAAAACTTCAAGTCTACTCTTGAACAACGGCTCCTAGGTAAGAATGGCAGCAAGGATATTTCCTACACCTTATATCCAAAACTCAGAATAACAAATCAGTGTTTGAAAGGAGCAGGATCTTTATTCATTTCAGTGCCAACTATGTGTTAAAATGTACATAGAAGTCTCTGCATTTTCTGTTAATTTTATCATTCATGACAAATTAGTTTATACACAGACAAGTAATTAAAGCCATTAATCAAGCATAGTTTTATGTATCTCTATACTTATTATTTATATAAACAATGATAATCCACTACCTATCAGTATAACAATACCTCTATTTAAAAAGAAACTAAATTCTGGGTGATAGTAGTTAGTATTTAAGGCAAATTAAGTCTACAAAAAATTCTTCTGAAATTTTTAGAATTTCAAATGATTTATATTTTACATCTAAGAAAAACAGTCTTTTTATTTAGGAAGTCATTGCCTATGCCTATTAATTCCAGTGTATTCCCTGCTGTTTCCTGCACTTGCTTCAAAGTTTCAGGTCTTATATTAAGGTCCTTAATCCACTTTGAGTTGGTATTTGTACAGGGTAAAAGGCATGGATCTAGTTTCAGTTTTCAGCATGCAGATATATCCAGTTTTCCCAGAAACATTAGTTGAAGAGCTTGTCTTTTCTCCATCATATATTTTTGGTGCCTTTGTCAAAACTCATGTTGGCAAAACTGTATGGATTCATATCTGGGTCTTCTATTCTATTCTACTGGTGAACTCAAATGGTTAAGCAACTAAGAGAAGGGATTGATAAATGGGACTTCATGGAATTAAAAAGCATCTGTACAACAAAATAAATGGTCTCCAGATTGAAGAGGCCACCCACAGAATGGGAGAAAATCTTTGCCAGCTATATACCTGACAAGGAATTAAAACCAGAATATACAGAGAGTTTGAAACAATGACCCAATGATAGAATGGCAAATGAACTGAATAGAAAATTTTCAAAAAACACATGAAAAAAATGCTCAACACCAGTTGCCATAAAAAATATGCAAATCAAAACCACATTAAGATGCCACCTCACTCCTATTAGAAAGGTTATTATCAAGAACAAAAACAACAATAAATGTTAGTGAGGATGTGGGGAAAATGGAACCCTCATAAACTGCTGGTGGAAATGTAAATTAGTACAACCACTAGGGAAAACAATATAGACACTCCTCAAAATACTAAAAATAGAACTGTCACATGATCCAGTAACAGCATTCCTAGGGATACACCCAAAAGAATGTAACTGAGGTTACAAAAAATGCACCTGCATACCCAAAATTATTGTGGTATTATCCACAATAGCTAAGCTATGGAAACAAGCAAGATGCCCCACTACTGAAGAACAGATTAAGAAAATGTGGTATTTATATACAATGGAATTTTATTTAGTCATAAAGAAGAATGAAATTTTGTTGTATGCAGGTAAGTGGATGGTACTGGAGAACATCATCTTAAGTAAAGTTAGCTAGGTTTGGAAAGCCAAAGGCCATATGTTATAGCTCATGTGTTGACTACAGACCTAATACAAATTAAGCAATATTATGGGAAATAGATCACACTAAGGGGAGGTCACTAATGGGAGAGAGAAGGTAAAAGAAGGAAGTTAAGGAAGCGAATATGGTTGATGCAGTTTATATACTAGAATAAATATAGAGTTTTTAAACCTGTTGAAACCACAATAAGAAGGGGGCTAATACATATATTAGTATATATTAGTTATAATACATATATACATGGAAAGGTCACAATAAAACTCTCTGTATAGCTATTTTAGACTAACAAAAATGCCTTTTTTCAAAAACAGAAAACAGGAAGGCAAAACAGGTCCTGTCTGGAGGTTAGTACCAGTGGGAGAGGAGAGGATTTAAGGAAAACACGTAGAAGGGTACGTATGGAGCAAATACTTGTATACATGTGTGTAAATGGAATAGTGAGACCTTTTGAAATTATTCTAGGAATGGGTGAAGGAACATAAAGGAGAATGACGAATAGGATGACTTCAACTATTACATATTATAAGAACTTCTGTAAATGTCACAATATACTCCCAGTACAACAGTAATATAATTAAAAAGAAAAGAAAATTTTAACCCCCCTCTACAAGAAAAAGTCTTTCCAATGTGAAATATATGCCTAAATACATAGACAGATCTCATTTACAGCCTTTTTCATCTCTGTGGAACTGTATATCTCCATTCTCAGTAAAGAGACTGTGTGCAAGGGCCTCATAACTGATTATGAACTGAAGGCTTGTCCTAGGGCTGCCTAATATTTTGAGATCAGGGAGAATGGAACTAGAAAAATGCTGAGGAACACTGTTCAGTGGGGACTGATGAAAACTATGAGAGGGCAGTGTGCTGGAAATCAAATATTGTTCCTTCAGTATTGCTGAGAGGCCATGCAGGATGAAGACAGCATTGACAGCACAGACACTGCTGATCTTGAAAGGTTAGATTCAGGGAAGCGGTGAGAGCAGCAGCCTTGTGGAGTAACATCATAAGACAGCAGCTGAAGGGGCTTTGAAATCTGACAAATCCTATGAACCAAAAGAAGGGAGCTGAAAAGGTTATTTCTGAGGTTAGCCTTTGAAACAGGGGGACTAAGGTAGAACAGAGAAACATAGAGGGCATGAACCAATCTGAGTTATAACACATATGTACATATACACATGTATGTATACACATATATATGTACATATACACATGTAAGTATACACACACATATGTATATATACACATGTATGTATACACACATATGTATGTATACACATATATATGTATATATACACATGTATGTATACACATATATATGTATATATACACAATGAAACTCCCTGTATAGCTATCTTAAACTAACAAAATGTCACTTTCAAAAATGGAGAGCAAGAAGGTAAAACAAGTCCTTTCTGGGTGTTGGTACCAGTGGTAGGGGAGATGATACAAGGAAAGGTTATAGGAGGGTGAATATGGTGAAAATATTATGTTCACATGTATGAAAATGGAAAATAATGAGACCTGTTGAAACTATTCCAGGAATGGAAAGAAGAGAGATAAAAGAGAATGATGGAGGGGGTGAATCAACTCCTGTTTTGTAAGAATTTTTCTTAATGTCACAATGTGCCCTCAGTACAGCAATAATTTAAAAATTATGGAAGTTCAAATTTTGTAATATAAACATACCACAAATGATTTGTAATATAAAATTTTACAAATTTTGTAATATAAAATACTAAAAATGATAAAAATTACAGTGGAAATAGCAGT